CCGCCCCCCATCACCATTCAAAAAGCTTTCTCGAAGATGAGCCTGGCTGCGATCTCGCCCGAGAGCCAGCGTGAAAAGAAGAGCCCCGGACCACGGAGTAACGAACTCAGTACGACGAACAAACAGAAGACATTCACCTGCCCTGAATGCGGCAAGGTGTTCAACGCCCACTACAATCTGACCAGACACATGCCCGTCCACACGGGGGCGCGGCCGTTCGTCTGCAAGATATGCGGCAAAGGGTTTCGCCAAGCGAGCACTCTGTGCAGGCACAAGATCATCCACACGGCGGAGAAGCCGCACAAGTGTCCTACCTGCGGCAAAGCTTTCAACCGAAGCTCGACCTTGAACACGCACAGGCGCATCCACGCCAACTACAAACCGTTCGTGTGCGAGTATTGCGGGAAGGGGTTCCATCAGAAGGGAAACTACAAGAATCACAAGTTGACGCACAGCGGCGAAAAGGCGTACAAGTGCAACATTTGCAACAAGGCGTTCCACCAGATTTACAATCTCACCTTCCACATGCACACCCACAACGACAAGAAACCATTCTCGTGCAAGATCTGCGGGAAGGGGTTCTGCAGGAACTTCGATTTGAAGAAACACATGAGAAAATTGCACGACAGCGGATCACCCGTGTTGAACGGCCTAGGTACTTCGGCGCAGAGTCACAATCAACAGTCCGGTTACGCGTCCGTCCACCACGGACCCGGTGCCCACTCGTTCGTCAGTCCTTTCCTGCTTCCGCCGCCAGGTACCACCAGTTACTTGAGCAAAATGTTGTGACAAGGCGACGGTGTTCATTATCCGAGAAAGACGCAGTGCCCTTTGATCCTTGGCCCGCCTTGTTACACGGGGGACATCGGCCAGTTGACTCAACCCTCGAAATGAAGGGGGCGAGGAAAAGATATCGGTGATTATTAAGAATTATCACGGAATATCGAGGGGTGAAGCTGGAAATTGGACGATTAGATTAGATCTCGAGGATCGTCCTTTGGTTTTTCACCGCGAGAGTAATTTATCTCTCCGATAGAGAGAGAGACGACCCAAGAAGACAGAGATACCAAAGACGCGGGCAACAGACGCTTCGACAACGCGGGGAAACGTGTACGTGTTACCGTATTGTTTCGAGACAACCAACTACCTCATATACTACAGCAACTAAATTGTAGCAGATTATTCCTGTTTTAAGACTAGTCTCAGGCCTTTTTCCGTCACGATGTAACGATATATACGTTATATCATTTAAAAGTTGCAGTACTTTCTTCGGATACCTCCGTTACCAAATTTCTTTTTTCTTTTCTTCAGATCACGCAGTATCTCGCAAACACACACACACACACACACACACATACATATATATACGCATCTATACTCAAAGTTCTACCTGTTTACGCGATCGCGAATTTACGAGGGAAGTAAAAATTGAAAGCGATTCGCAATATCATACCGTGGATAGAAACGATCGTCAACAAAGATTGGTGGAAAACAAGGCTCGATAAAAATCCAACAACGATGGACAGGTGCATTAATTTACGTCGGGAACACGAATTTTCGACGGAACGTGACGGGTGAATAATATCCTTAATTTCGAGGATGAACCAACGCGACGGCGAGGGCAAAAACGGTGGGCAAATAGGACGAGTAATCGAATTAGACGATTCGTCGCGGACAATTCCGGGAGCACAATGATATTTTAACCGAACGAGCAGTTGCCAGCTGCAAAACACCGAGCGTGAATATATCGGAGAAAGCAAATAATCGGTCGTATCGGGCGAAATAAACCATGCCGGGAGGTAAATCAACAGATAGACAGAGGAACCAGAGAGATAACATAAGTGCATATTGGCAGGATCGTTATAAACTGGATACCGGATCCCCCATGGCATCGGATTAATCGCATGAAAGCTCAATCGATGGTATCCTGGCGAGAGATGATTACTTATTTATGTAAATACTTGTAAATATTTGTACCTGCGACAGAGAGTGATCTCGTTATTGCGGCGCATTAACGGTGGCCGGAAATTATCGACGAAAAAAAAAAAAAAAAAAAAAGAGAGAGGAAAAAAGCGAGATGGTGGTTGATTCTTCAGCGACGATCTTCGACGCGAGACATCGCGCGAGAGTATTGGCAGAGCTCGGATCGAAGCTTGGAGGGCTCGCGTGCAAGCTTCCTCCAAGATGGAGGAAAAGCGTGGAGAGGAACAGACACGTTTGGCCACGATTATCTTTATCTATTCCTTAGACGAAATGTATAAATCGGTGTGATAGTAGCTTTTAAGTGACGACGCGCGTAACGAGCAAGAAAGTGTTGGCCGTTCAATTTACTATCCGTTGTAAAATTACGCCTAGATACTAGGTTCGGCGATCGATCGATGTGGATCGAAGATTTGTACGCGATCGTTTCGAGAGAGATTTGCAATAGAGAGAACGTAGGGAACACGAGTCGCTCCGTTGTTCTCCGTTTTCCCGCGTGTTCAATCTCATCTTCATTATGCATTTTTATTTACGTCTCACCTTATTTTTATTTTTTTTTCCAAACTTTATTCACCGCGATTCTTCCGTTACATCCCTGCTCTCCATCCTTCTTCCTTTTGACTTTCACTCGCGGAACGAAATTTTGAAATTTTAATTTCTCTCCCTTCCTCCGTTCCTTTTCTCCTTTACGAACGATGGTTAACTCGAACACAATCGAAACAGATTCCTCCAGGGAGAAATTCCTTAATCGATTCGATATTTCACGTTTCTACGGAACTAGGTAAGCCGCCATTAACGACGAGGCGAAATTAATGAATTAAGCATGATTAACGGCGAAAATAAAGAAACGAATTATATATGTAGATAATCGGTAGAGTAGATGAAAATGCATATGTATGTGTCCCCTATTGTAAATATGAGTCGATCCAATGCAATAAAATCATCGATACCAATGAATTATTTATTCGTTTCGTTTTTACACCNCTCTTTTACGCCGACAACGTCAACCCTCGTTGTACTACTCGTACTTGTATTNAAAAAAAAAAAAGAAAAGAAAAAAAGAAGAAAGTCCTCTTAATCTCACACGTATCTTTCGATCGAAGTGAAGATCCTTCGCGTATATACAATCACGTATTATAATTTGATCGAGAAGTTGCGACAAAATTTGCAACTCTCCATCCTCAATACCCGAGAGCATCGATTGGCCTAGAGAAGAGGAACGAGAAGACTCGTAACCCCTCGGTATAATGTACGTAACGAGGGTAGGAGAGTTCTAATCTCTTGGCCGCATCATCCATTCGATCCCTAATCTGTTAGCTACCGTGGAAGAAAGAACCGACCCTTAAGCACATCGTCTCATACTCTCGATCCGATCTCTTCTCTCCTTGGAAAGAAAGAGAAGGAAAGCGTCGGTTAAAAAAAGGAAAAGCGTGGAGAAAGAGGGAGAGAGAGAGAGAGAGAGAGGTCAGCCGCATCATCTGCCATTAGACGCGATGCAATCTGTCGCGTTTAGTTTAGAAAGAGGCGAGACCTTGTGTGTATAGGAAGCGGTGTATCGGATGCACGGGTGGTGCGAGAAAGGGGGCGAAAGTTAGTCAAAGGTGAGAAAAGAGACGGATCGATGCATAGAGGGTGGTCGAAACATCGAGGGGTTGGAGGATAGGATATTCCTATCAGAGGGAGGATAGACAGAGAGGACGACGTGCTTCTGTTCTGATTTGCGCGCGAGATATCGCGCCGACCTTCTGATGTATCTGCAGAATCTGTCCTCTATCCATTAAATCGAGACTCGTCCGACCGCCATCCCAACACCGGTCCCTTATCAAACGCCACTGTTACGAACGCCACCCCTGTAGCACGTATACGTATACGTGTCAACGAGGAATTTCGTGTTTCCGGGTTGACGCGTTCAAATTAAATCACTCGAGAGTGGCGATGTTCCAAGATCGAAACGAACCAAATCTTCTTTCGTCATCAATTTTTCTATTCACAGCATCGGAAATACTTATCGATGATGAATAGGAATAGAAGATGATCGAGAGATAATACCAATAGATTTTTTCTTCCGAGGGAGAGAATCGGTAGAAAAGTATTTCTCGATCTTTCACACCCCGACGATACGACGAAGGAAATTAACTATTAACGTGTTTCTTAAAAATCAGCAGGAAATCCTTCGTTACAAGAGAGGTGTCGAAAAGAATCTCGTCGACCAGCGGGGGTTGTATACAAACAAGTATTTAGAAGCGTTTAATGGGAATTATCCGGAGGCGGAGGTGTGACAATTAGGGAAGGATTATTAACACCTGGAGTCGGCATCACGCTGTTCCACGAGTCGCTCGCTGAGTCGAGAGTTAGACGAAGAAAACTTTCCCGTCGACGATCATAGGGGACCGCAAAACGTTAAACCTCCAAACGTTTCCCTTATCCACGGCTGACTCGTTCTACCGCGATTCCGGTATTTTTCGACCTGATCCATCCAAAAAGAAAAAAAAGGAAAACACCGCGTTAAATCCACAGGAGCGTGAAATTTTGTTTGAAAATCTGCCGAATCTCTGCACTCCTCGCGCCAGATTAATCGACGTTTCCTGCTTTCGTCACGATCTTGCATCTTCCTCACTTTTTTTCTTTTTTCCACTCGTTCCTCGTCCGGGAAGAAATTGATTCAAAGAAATGATTTATAAATAGGGGATTTCCGATAAAATCCGAATATCGAGAATAACGATCGAACGCGTTAAAAATACGTGGAATTCGAAATTGTTGAATCGTAGGTGGAACACACATCAACAATATGGAATATCAAACGAAGGCAAACAAATATTTCGAAGCGAGGGAAAACGCGACGCGCAGCGGCGGAAACGCGGCAGAAAATCCCTTGGCGCGAACGATACAACGTCGGAGTTACGCGAAACGTCGAGTACTCATCCCCCGTGTGTCCTGTGTTTTGGGACACACGCCCTCCGCCATTACTCCCCCTATTAATATCCCCGTAATTGGTTAAAACCCGTAACTGATGAGCGAACTGTAAGTTATTATGCAAAGAGACCCTCGGTTCTCGCGACGATGGGGGTTTATGGGATACGGTTCAACACCTCTTCATTACCCTCTTCATCCCTCGATAGATCGTCGGTGTTGTATCGGTGTTGTACAGCGGCATTACACGATGCCCGGCCCGGTCGTGTCATTGTGCCATCGGATCGCCGATGCACGCCTGGCTCGTTACGGGGTTCATGAAAGAATCCAGTCGACTGGATTTACACGCTTCGAAATACCGCATCGAGCAGCACAATTTTCGTTCGTCCGACTACATCCGTGTTTGAGAAGAGGAGAAAAGAGGGACCGGGGGAGGGGAAAAATATGGATCATCTCCGTGGAAACGTTTCGCGGATTGTCGCGAAATATCGAACGGTTTAAACAACGTTTCGGCAAAATTCACGCTCAGAAACTCTCGCCGAGGGATACGGATACGCGAGATAATTTAAAGAGATTTGGGCAGTAAGATGGAAAAATAACGAATGGAACGGTATTCTTTTTTTTTCTTTTTTTTCTTTTCTTTCCTTCGATTCCCTAGTCACACCGTGAGATCGATCGTTCAACTTTCGAACCCCTAAAAAGCTATGGGTGCCCCATCTAATTACGCGGTATCAGGTGTCACCGACGGGGAATCGAAGCTCTCTCTCTCTCTTTCTCTCTTCCTTTTCCTCCGATCATTGTGTTCCGGTCGATCGTTATACACGGTTCGACGCCTACGTAAAACGCCGTAGGGGGACGCGCGCTAGTCGCTCGATTCATCCCGAATCGCTCGACTCGAGTCGGTCGACTAAACGGAATACTTAGCGATCTTCGAATGGTCGAGGGTGAATTGGAAAGAAAGAGGTGGTGAAAGAGATCGACGAACCATCTCCCCTTCTCTCCCTCCGCGTATATCTATTTTAGCTACCGACACCGTTTCCTTTTGTTATCACGTGACACGCAGCTTCCAGAGATCCTTTCACGCGATAACAAAGGACGATCTCGTAGTTGCGTGTCCATTTCATCGACGCGTTCAATGAAATTCGAAAAAAAAGAAAGAAGAGAGATAGAGAGAGAGAGAGAGAGAGAAGAAAGAAAATAAAGAATAGACAGCGAACAAGCTTCTCGGTTATTTTAATTAATCTATCCTCTTCATGATTTCGATTGAAGAGGGTGGGTTTAGTTGGAGGGGCGGAGGGAAGGGAAAAAAACACATTCGCCACTCGCGAACGCGAAATTCGTTTCAATCTCTCTCTTTTGCCTCTCGTTCCTTCTCCACCCGATGGTGGGTTACGCTCCCCGTACGCTTCCTGGCTAATGGAAAAATTCCATCCGGAGTAATCGCGGCAGATGATCGTCGTGCAAAAGGTTCGTCTGGCGAGCTAACGAGGAACCGAGCGCGTTATAATGACGTGCTCCTGGCCTGTTGGCTCGAGTTTCCAGAAACGAGGCGGATATCATGATAATCAAAGTTTATTGTGTCATAACACGGACGAGGGAAATAAATTGGATTGCAGGTTGCACACAGTTAGATAGGGATAAGTGTCGCGACACGAAGAAAGTTCAAACATCGTATCTGTATATAGGTTTATATACAGATTGGCGAAACGGTTGAAGAAGAAAATGGTCGAGTGCAAATTCTTGCGTACGATCTAACGAGCGTCAAAGAGAAGGAAAGAGAGGCGAGAGGGAAACGCGACGTTTGGTATTATAATGACGGCCCTCTTCGAGCCACGGCAGCAAATGTGAAGAGTTCCATTTCTCGACACCTTCGTTCTCGATTCTTGCTCGAGCGGAGTGCCATCGATTCGCCCGACCCTCTCCTCCGTCCTGCTACTTCCTACTTCTCCATCGCTCTCTATCCTCTATCATTCGTCTTCGTTCCTTCCAACACCTATCTTTCTCGTTATCACGTCTATCTTCGCTCGAAATGAGAAAGGAATGGGATGCAGGGCTAAAAAAAAAGAAGAACGATTCATAATTGATTCGATCGAACGAGAGATCCCATAAAACGAATTGATCCTCAAGATGGAACGTGATATTATGTCATCGACGATTGGACTTGTTTCTAGCTT